AGAAGTGTGGAGGCGACAGACTCCAGCTTCCAGCCCTGCTCTCGCCTGCCAGAGATGCTTCCAGGAGTGTCCAAGCACCTTCCCCTGCCTGCCCCCATCTCGTCCCCACTGCCCAGCGCCGTGTACCCGGCTGCCTGCCCGGCTGCCAGGGGCTCGCTGTGCCGGGAGGGACGAGTGTGCCAGGGCGGCCTGTGCATCCATGGCTCTGCTCGGGCCCTGCTGAGCCCCAGGTTCATTAGCAGGCACCCTGAGCGCTGCGCTGGCGGGAAGGTTAATCACGGGCTCGTTGCGGCCTGTAAAGCGGAGCGCCTGGAAACGAGGCTGCTTTGCTGCTGAAGCTTCCCCGGCCGGCGGCAGGTAACCTCGCCTGAGCCGCCGTGACTAGGGCCACACAGCGCGTGCCTCGCCTGCCCCAGCCCCGGGCCACAGGCCAGGAGAGGCCTGGGGTTGCCGCTCCTCGCGGGCTGGGCAGCACAGTGCCACCGCTGCAGCAGCCCACGCGGCAGCAGTGGCAGAGGCTGGGCGCCTGGCTGTAGCCGCTGAGGGAGCACTCGTGTGAGGGTGTGTGCAATTGTGCGTGCATAAGCATCTGGGTATGTGTTAGTGTGCACGCATGTCAGCACGTGTGGTCCTGCGGCTACAGCTGAGAGCATGTGTGTGTGTCTTGCACGTCCCCGTGCCAGCGCCTGCTTGCCCGGCAGGGCTGGGGGGAGCCATGCGCAGCCGTGGTTGCTGGGCACTGCCCTGGCTGAGCTGCTGAAGACTCCTCCCCGGCGCGGCGGCCGGTGCAGTGCAGGAGCGCACAGGTGGATCACGCCAGTGCGAGCCTCTCCACGAGCTGGCGGTTGCTCTGGTAATGAGAGCGAGCCCCGATGCTGCACCAGCCACGACATTTTGGCTCCACTGCAGCTCGGGCTCCCGGTGCCTGTGGCCCTGCTGTCCCAGCTCGTGCTGGGGCCGCCCGGGGCAGGCCAGGCACCGGAGCGGCCCATCCAGGTCTGCCCTCCTGGGAGAGGCCGCTGCACTGCGGCAGGCAGCTGGGACTGTGCTAGAGCCGAGACTCCCCTGGGCCCTGAGCAAGGGGGTCTGGCGACAGGACACGGGGAGCAACCCCCGCGGGCTCGCACCGGTCACCGCCCCACAGCCCAGCGCAGCCCAGCTGGGCGTCCTGCCCCCGCCTCTCACCGCGCTGGTGGGCACAGGCTCCGGAGCAGGCTGCGCTGCCAGCACCCACCAGCTGCAGCTCCGGGGCCCCGGGGCGGGGACAGGGGAGCACCCCCTGCTCAGCCCAGCCCATCGCTGCCCGCCCCGGGGCGCAGCCCCCTGCCAGCCTGAGCCAGGGGCACCTTGCAGTGCCCAGTGCAGGGCAGACCCGTGCCTGGTGAAGCTGCAGCCAGACGGGCAGCCTGCTCCCGCACGGATGAGAAACGGCCCCCGTGGCCAGCGGGACCTGACGCAGGGGCAGGGACAGGGGCTGGGAGCACGGGCAGTTCCCCCCCTGCCGAGGTCCCCTGGGCACTGCTGAGCCCCCACAGCCACGCTCCACCGGCTCCCGTTAACACCTCACAGTGCCTGACTCAGCAATTAATTCATTTCAGGGTCCATTAATAATTAATGGACATGGGAACCTCGGCGGGGCGGCACCTGACCAGACCGGGCAGGCCCGGGGCTCGCGGGGTGCAGCAGTGGGCATGGCAGCAGCACGGCCGTGCCCCGCTGCAGGGAGGAGCGAGGCCTCTGCCCCAGCACCTGGTCGCAGCCGCAGCCGCAGCGCCCCCAGCACCCCCAGGCCCTGTAGGGAGCCGAGAAAGGGGGCGCGCGGCTCGGCAGCTCCCGCTAACTTGTGTCTGCGCCGAGTGCCCCGGTGCACATGCTGCCCCCGCCTCGCTCAACCCCGCCTGGCATGGGCCGGACCCTGCTGCAGGATGCTGGGTCATGCTCATGGCACGTCCCCGCAGGCGGCATGTGGAGCGGTGCTAGGCCGAGACCTCGTGGACCAGGCCAGGCCGCGCTCCCTCCGCTCGCTTTCCTGGCCTCTGCCCCTGCCTCGCCCTGCCGTCTGGGACTGCGCTGGAGCTGCAGCTGCCTCTGCCCCAGGGCAGGAGCCAGGCACCGCAGCCCTGGGCTGGGAGGAAGGGCCGGGAGTGCTGCCCCCACCCCCCGCCGCAGCCAGGCAGCGCGGCGCAGTGGGGAGAGCAGGCGGCGGGGAGGGCGCCGTTGACAGCATGATTATAGGCGTCTGATTAAATATTTGTGCCGAGTGACAAAGCCCTGGGCTGGCTGGGAAATCGCTCCCCGCCAAGGTAGCTGTTACGGGCTGATTGGCACTGAGATTATAGGGGTTCGGGGGAATTGCGCAAGCTGACAAAATAGTGGTGACAAACACACAATTTCCAGCCCAAGGGAGGCTGCTCCACTCCCAGGCAGCGGGGAGATGGGCTGCCACCTCCGTGGCATGCGTGTGCATGGCCGGGGGCACCCCCAGAGCGGGGCCAGGCTGCGGTGCTGCCTGCCTGCCTGCGTGCACGGTCTGGGCCCCGCCCAGGGCGGGCGGCTGTGCTGGCTCCCAGGGCCCGGGCCGGCGGCAGGTCGGGGCACCCAGCCCAGAGGAGATGCTGCTCTCCCCAGCCTGGAGCTGCTCCCCAGCTCACCCCTGCCCGGACCCCAGGGCCACAATCTGGTGCGCACGTCACTGGGGAAGGGGCACGCATGTCCTGGGTCATGTCAGGGCCACGTGTGTCCTGGCAGCACCTGCCACGGGGCAAGGCACTGGCAAGGCCTCGTCCAGGGCCTGGATACTCCATGCTTGAGCCTGGAGGCAGAGCCAGCCGCGAGCGTCGGGGAGCACAGGATGCTGCTTTTGGAGACCAGGGGAGCGCAGCTCATTCGGCGCAGGATGCAGAGGCTCAGCGCCAGGCAGGACGGCTGCTGCGCAAGTCGCGTCCCGCAGGCAGGAGATGCTCGAGCTACAGCCAGAGCCGGCACCAAAGGCCCCGGACAGAGCTGAGGGGAGCGAGTGGGAGTGGAGGCGGCCTAGGCCGAGCGCAGCGGCAGCAGGACACCAAGCGGGTTTTACAACGGAGCGTGTCCGGCGAGAGGGCGAATGGGCCACGGCTGCAGCAGCAAGCGGGGCTGGGCTCGGCGGCTGGAAGGGCAGCCCCACTGTGCGATGCCACGGCGTGTATCGGGGGCGAGCAGCCAGGGGCCCACAACCACCAACCGTGGCTTTGGCCAAGCCCAGCTCAGCTTAGGGGCGAGGGCAGCAGGGAGCCATGGAAAGCAAGCAGAAAGGGGCTGAAGACAAGCGCTGGATCTCCATTAGAAGTTACGAGGCCTCGGGGACTGGCAAGGGAAGCTAACGGTATCAGGGAGAACGTGTCAGGGGCCAGGACAGAGGATTACTAGGAGCTTTCAAAGAGTATTAAGAGCAAAGGGAATAGCACCAAGAGCAGAGGCCCCGACCGGAGATGGTAAGAGTGTCATTAATGATGCAGGAGAGGATGGAGGAGTCAATAAATAACTCAGTTCTGCATGGGGAAAGAAGCTGGGCGACATGCTCCTCTCACCCGAGGAGGCCGAGAACTCCCGAATCTCTCAGCGACTAGGGAGATGCTTTGAGAACAGCTCCTACTAAAAAGCTTTTGCAATGAGCAGGCCTGCATGATTTGTCCCCAAGAGTCCTAGAAGAGCGGGCTGAGGATGAAATCCCAGGACGCCAGGAGAGTGCTGGGCTGGTGTTCAGAGAGGCCAGGGGAGATGACCTGGCAGCTGCAAGCAGCCCATGGGCTCAGG